GCTTACCCACACATACACACACACGGAATGAAGAAGGTAACGCCTTGATAACTACTTTGCGCGCTGAGGGCTCTGCAGTCACCACCAGCAATACACACACACACATACACCGCATACAACCGTCGCAGCTTGAGCGTATCTACCCCAAGGAGGGAAGGAAGGGAGAGTGAGTGAGTGAACATGTGCCGGCATGTGCGTTTTTATTCCTCACTGTTGCTGCTCCTCTGCATGATGTTGATTTGCTTCAGCAGCAGTGGTGTTGCGGCCGGTGACCAAGAGGATGTTTCGGGCCCATTTGACGGGATGACACCGATAGCTGGTGCTAAATGGGAAGAAATTGAAGTGTCTGGCGCATCCGTCACTTCGCTGCGTGTTCCCAGCCTTGTGAGGGTTGGGGATGATGTGTTTGCCGTTGCTGAGGCTCAGTGCAAGAAGGAGGAAGAGGACAGCAGCTTCACTGGCATCGTGTCGGTGCCCCTCAATCAAATTGATGATGCTGCAATGGAGATCCCGACGACAGACGCAAGTGTCTTTTGCACACAATTTGAGGAGACAAGTGGTGCGGCTAGCGGCAAGGCAACAAAGATAATGCAACCAACCACAATGGCAGTTGGCAGCGATGTCTACATGTTGCTTGGAAACTACAGCCGCACAGAGTCTGAACCTCAAGGTTCCGGTAAAGATGGCTTGGGGCTGTTGCTGGTGAAGGGAACAGTCAGTAGAAATAATGAAGGAACAAAGAGAATCCAATGGGATAAGACTGCCGTATTGAATCTTGAGACCAAGGGACTTCATGGGTCTTTGACTCGGTTGGTTGGTGGCGGAGGGTCGGGTGTTGTGATGAGTGACGGCACGCTTGTGTTTCCCATGCGGGCAACAGACAAAGGAAAGGACGTTTTGTTGTCCATACGTTTCACCCCGTCAGAGAAGAAATGGGAGCTTCCACAGGGTACGACCGGTGAGGGCTGCAGGGATCCATCCATCGCGGAGTGGAAGGAGAAAAGCCTCCTCATGATGGCTCACTGTGGGCAAGGCTTTTACGATGTTTACAAGGGTTTGGCGGCTGGTAGAAGTTGGCTCACGATGCGTGAGCCGATTTCTCGCGTGTGGGGCACCTCACTGAAGCGTCAAGGAGGGAACGGCGTCCGGAGCGGCTTCGTCGCTGCAGACATCGATGGAGAGAAGGTGATGCTGCTTACCACGCCGGTGTATTCTGAGGAGAAGGGAGAGGGCCAGCTGCATCTTTGGGTGACAGACAATGCCCGTGTACATGACCTTGGGCCGGTATCTCGTGCAGGCGATAACGCTGCCGCCAGCTCCCTGCTTTACAGAGCCGCGAAGGAGTTGATTTTACTGTACGAGAAGAAGAATGAAGATTCATACAGTCTTGTCGCCATGAACCTGACTGAGCAGCTGGAACCGATACAGAACATGGTGAAGGCCTGGAAAGAAATGGACACCGCACTAACAAACTGCGCTTCCACTGGCACTGTTGACCTGGGAATAAAGAATGTGTGTAAGGGCCCTATTCCCACGGAAGGGCTGGTTGGCGTTTGGTCCAACAGTTTGGAAGGGACTGTGTGGAAGGACGAGTACCTCGGCGTGAACGCAACCGTAACAGATGGAGTGACAAGCGAGGAGTGGGGTGTGAGGTTCAAAGGCGCAGCAGCGGGGGCGGAGTGGCCGGTGGGCAGCAAGGGGCAGAACCAGCCGTACTACTTTGCGAACAACAAGTTCGCTCTTGTGGTGACGGTGATGATTAACGCGGTGCCGGAGGCAGAGACTCCTGTTCCTTTGATGGGTGTGAGGATGAATAACACAGAAGGCACTGCGCTCTTTGGTCTGTCGTACACGAGGGACAATAAGTGGGAATTTCGGGGGGGTCGCAGAGTCATCAAAAAGTCTACGGAAACGTGGGAGGTAAACAAAACATATCAGGTGGTGATGGAAATGGATGAAAACGAGTGGTATGTGCACGTCAATGGGAAGGAGATTCATGAAGGGAAGTACAATGCCACTCTGTTCAGGTCGCACCGGATCTCGCACTTTTACTTTGGCAGCGACAAGAAAGAAGTTGGGGTCAACAGCCACGATTTGACGGTGTCCAGCGTCCTGCTGTACAACAAATTACTTCGAAATGATGATGAGATCGAGCAACTTAGTGCCAGCAAATTTACTTTTCCGCAGCCTGGTGCCGAGGAAACA